AGTGTTATTCTCCAAGAAATCAAGCAATCTCCTTAGTTGTGGATGGCTTAGGATCATCTTCAGTAGTTGGGAGGAGATGGGGGGAGTATAGTTGGGCATCCGCTTGCCTAGCTATCATCTACAACAACTTGTGCAATGCGTCGAACAAAGCCGTGAGGGAGGTTGGCGGCGCAATGTTCATCGTCCAATTTTGGGCTTGGGAGCATATGCCATGGCTTGCACCGGCCCAACGTCCAGACAGGGATTGGCCAATCGATCATCCCCTAAGAGGTGAAGCTTATGGAGCAAGGTAAACTTCTCATACCCCATCATGTAGTCATAACACATTTTGTCTTGTGTTTTATCTTATTGTAGTTTCATTCTTGTCATATTAATAAGGTGGCTTGGACACACAACATGCGACAACCTTGCCCAACACAAGTTGGAGGAGTATCGGAGGAGGTTTGAGCGACTTTGGGAAGGACGATCAATTTCCCTTCGTACAGCGGCCAATAAGCCTCATCAGGCAATGCACGGAAACTCCGTCCGTAGGTGCTCTTGAGTGAGTCGATATTGAAGAATGGACTAACGAAGTGACGGGGGTCTTTGCTCCTCTTTTTAATTACGGCCATTGCATGAGAACAAGGCCATCCTCTCCCCTGATACTTCTGGCATGAGCACTCACCAACTTTGGTCCTGAAATTGACCAAAACTTCGTGACGGTGACCCCCCCGTCTACCATCCTCCCGATGTCCGGTCGTCACGCTATACTCACCAGTTGCCCGATTCATAACGGTTACACTATGTCGACTGCTCTTGCGATTGTCACTGTCCATTATTTCAGTGACTTTATAGGCATGGACCTTTCCCTGTGCCTCGTTTGTCCTTGCCCAGTGGAGACGGTTAACGAACCATGCATTCGTTTTCCAAAATGTCATCTCCACAATGGCAGAGATTGGCAGTGCACGGACGGCCTTGTAGACAGAGTTGATACTCTCACTTGAGTTGGTTGTGGCAATACCCCATCTTTTGCCTCCATCTTTATGAAATGTCCACATGGATAGGTCGTGTCCATCCAGCCACTGTGCCCCTTCAGGGCATAACTCGCGCAACTTTTGCAACTTCTCCTGAAATTTTTTCTCCTGGTATGCAACCGCTGAATAACACACAGAAAAGTCGTATGTTAGTAAATGATCCTCAATTTAGTACAATTTCAAACTGGTCGGTCGGACTCTCGTTAGACTCTTAGGAGAGGTATACATCTCCTTAGAAACACAGCCTGTTTGACAGAAAAAGGGGGGATCCGATGATCGCTTAAAACCCGATTTTCCCAGGAAATGGGAGGACCATCATAATCGCTTAAAACCCCATTTCCTTAGGCATGCATCTCTTTAGAAAGAGTCTAACAAGTGCACCACTCCAGATATTACAAGATATTGTTAATTGAGAGCAATAGAGAGGTTACCAATCCACCACAAATTATCAGCTAGCTTCTTCCGTTTGAAATGATGGTTCCAGTTGCTTTTGAAGTGTCGTATGCACCACCTTTGGGACCAATTCCAGGCTGGATCCAGGCCTAAGATGGCTGCTCTGATGCCGGCGTGCCGATCAGAGATTATTGTCAGGTTCGTCCTCTTGGTGACGTGGATTTGGATTTGTCGGAAAAACCATCCATAGCTATCAGCATTCTCTCCCTCAACAATGGCGAAGGCTAAAGGAAAGACTTGTCTGTTTCCATCCGCCCCACTGGCAATCAGGAGAGTGCCCTTGTACTTGCCGGTAAGGAATGTACCATCCACAGTAATCACAGGGATACAAAAGCCAAAACCATCAATAGAAGGCTTGAATGCCCAAAACAGTCTGCGAAAATGGCGTTCGTTACCTGCCTCTGGGGGTTGTATCTCTTCATCTTGGTATCGAGGGGAGAACACAGTCCCAGGGTTAGACGCCTCCAATGCCAGTATTAGTCTGGGAAGGAATGCATATGATTCTTCCCAATCACCATAGACGGCGGCCATAGCTTTCTGCTTTCCATGCCACGCCTTCTTATAGTTAATCATATAACCAAAACGACTTGCAATGTCAGCGATTATGACTTTCACCTTCAGATCCGGTTCAGCCTCAATCAGATGCTTGATAGCCGCAGCAACCACCCTGGATTTCAACTGTCGATGGCCTTGGGAAGTTATGGATGACACACATGTGTGTGTGTTGACCGCACGGGATATGACCCAGTGGCCGTGTCTCTTGCTGTTGATAGCACGAATCCTAACATTGCACCCCTCGTGATGATTACGGCATCTGACTATGAGCCTTTTGGTGTTGGAATGAGTTGTGTCCCATTCAAAATGCCGAGTCATTGCTTCAGTCTCAAGGGCGTGCCGCACATCCTTCTTCGAGCCAAATTGTTGGCCCTTCGTAAACCCAGTGAGTGGGCCCCATATTGGGACCTCTGGCGGCTCCATGTCGCTGTCGACCATCCAATTGTCGTCTGGAATGTGATTGTAGTAGGGGACTGGTACACGGTCAGGAGCCACATCATGATCATTATCTGAATCTGAATCTGGTGCTGAATCATCAGCACCTTCAAGAGGGTCTGAGCTGTCTGCACTGACGTTGTTCTCTCCTTCTTCATCAGAGGGGTCGCTGACTGGTCCTGGTGTGGCAGCCTCCGTCTGATCCTGCTCATGAAAGGCACCTTCATCAGCTCCATAATGGTAGTTGTGAAAACTACCGCTGCCTGTCAGGAAGTTGTACTGGGCTTGGTTGGGGATGTCCGGTTGAACTTCTTCTTCATATGACGAGAAAGATTGATGATGGCCTGCACCTTGCCCTCCATCTTGGTACTGAAAATAGGAATGAGGATCATGGTAACTTTGGTAGGGATGATCGTCATATAATTCACCACCACCATGGATACCAGATGTTTGACCGTGTCCAGAATGACCTCCAACACTAACGGCTGGCTCGGTGTAAACGAACATCTCGGCTTTGGCCAACTTGTTGGACCTCAAGAATTCGAGCATGGAATCTACGTCATCTTGAGTGGTTATGGTATATTCCTCATGCCACAATGACCCAGTTGCTCTGTTTGGGTATCGGTACACCATACGATCTACCCTCCTCGTGCCATCCATGCAAGTAACGTCAGTGCATATTCGATGGAGGTCTTCAAGCTTCGGTCTGGTACCGACCGTTATTTTCTGAAAATTGCCACCGACGTAGGTGGCCCCCTTTCCGGTGTCTTCCGTGTAACCATTCCACCGTAAGCCAAGCAACAACTGACGGAATGCCATCTGCACACAAACAAACCATAGTTTTAGTTAATATCATAAAAATCACAGATCACAAATAACAATAAAAAGTAACACAAAATAAACTTACGAGTTAATGTTAATGCAATAAAAAGTAACACAAATTAAAGTTACGAGTTAATGTTAATGGCATAAAAAGTAACACAAATTAAAGTTACGAGTTAATGTTAATGGCATAAAAAGTAACACAAAATAAAGTTACGAGTTAATGTTAATGGCATAAAAAGTAACACAAAATAAAGTTACGAGTTAATGTTAATGGCATAAAAAGTAACACAAAATAAACTTACGAGTTAATCTTAATGGCAAACACACTAAATAAATATAGATATACAACAGAAAAATGAAAGAGAGAATGAGAGGTGTGAAGAGTTGAGGTTTTCCGGCAAGTCTTATATAGGGAAAAAATTGTGAAAACCGCACCTCTAGGGTGCGGTTTTAGTCTGCATGCAGCCCTACGTCCATAATCCTCTGCATGGTGTGTCGGGTGTCGGAAAATTATTGACATGTAAACCGCACTTGGGGGGTGCGGTCTACATGTCAAAACCGCATCTTAGAGATGCGGTTTGTTCTTGGACGCAGAAACCGCATCTCTAAGGTGCGGTTTAGGTAGGTCAGGCCTAAACCGCACCTCGGCCATGCGTTTCATGTAGGCCAGACATGAAACCGCATGGCCCAGATGCGGTTTAGGCCCACCATTATTGACCGCACCCTCCAGATGCGGTTTACATTTAAAACGCACCTGGGGGATGCGTTTTATGTGTAAACCGCACCTGGAGGGTGCGGTCAATAAAAAAGGGTGCTAGTTTTGTAAATATTTTTGGGCGGGTGCTAGTTTTGTAATTTTTTTTTTTAAAGGTGCTATTTCTGGAAAAAACTCGCCATATTCCCTGCCTCTCTCTATTCTTCATAAATTCATTCTGTGGAAAGGGAGAGTGAATAAGTTCAGTGACTCTGCTCTCCATTTTAGTCCTCCTTAATTAACCCAGAGAGGAGGGTAAAAAGTTACTCTCTTGACACAGTAAGAAGGTCGTGTGCCGTGTATTTAACTATTTATGCAGGACCCTTGACAGTAGCTTTCCTTTTCATATTTTTTTTTTTTTTGAAATACTTTCCTTTTCATCAGTACCCTTTTTTTTTTTAATACATACCCTTCTCCTTCAACTTCAGCTCTCCTTTCTTCTCCCACAGTGGTCCATCGAAAGTCGAAACCCCCACTTTATAATTAAACCAGATAAAAGAGGAAACCCTCTCTCTCTCTCTGTCTCTGTCTCTCCATTGCCAATCTGCTCCGTTGCTTTTGAGGGTGAGTTTGTTTGTCCGTCTCTTTTGAAGGCGGGTGCTTATCTCCATGCAACCAAATCATAGGCCACTCATCATATAATCATCATCATCATAAAAGCTCAAAAACAACAAGGCAACCAACCCTTTTTTTTATTTGGGGTATGATGATGAGAAGTAGTAGTAGTGGTAGGAACAACCCTTCACCACACTTCCCCGACCTCTCCCTCCAGATCAGCCACCCCTCCACCGCCGCGGCGGCGGCCGACCTTTCCTACAGCGAGAGCAGCAGGAGTAGTGGCTCCACTACTACGGACTCCGGCGGCAGCAAGAACACGCCCGCCGACGGGTTCCTTAGCTTGGGGAAGTTCGACGGTCATGGTGACCATCAGAACCGGCCGCCGGTGGCGGAGCACCACCACCACCATCAGCCGCCTAAAATCCACGGCAGGGATTTCAAGAGGAGCGGCGGTGGAGGTGGAGGGAGGAGGAGCGTTAGAGCGCCGAGGATGAGATGGACCACCACAGGGGCGGAGCTAGGTGGAGCCTCGGAGGGGCCCCGGCCCCCCCGAGAATTTTGAAACTACGTACAAAATCTCTTCGGATTGTGAAAAATTACGTATAAAATAGATGTTAGAATATTAATTGTGTGCGCAATAATCTGACAAGAGACTAAGGTTCGGACGAGTGGTAGAAGAGTCGATCTTTTAGATTGAGTACATGGGTTCGAATCTTGCCTATAGCGAATTAGTGCCCATTTTTGCCATTTTCAAGTTGTGAGCATTCTCACCTAAACTACAGCAAATTAAGTGTTATTTTGCTATTTCCATATTGAAATAAGCCAATAAATTGTTTGAAAATGATAAAAATGAGCTACATATTGAAATACATGATTAATGTTTTTCGTAATTTAATAATTTGTTTTGACCATATCACATGGTAAATAATTATCTCAATTCTTGTTTTGTTATGATAATAAAAATTCTATAAACTTTTTTTGTCATGGTAAACTAAACAACTTCGGCCCCCCCGAGATTCAAATCCTAGCTCCGCCCCTGGACCACCACCCTCCACGCGCACTTCATTCACGCCGTCCAGCTCCTCGGCGGCCATCAAAGTAATTTAATTAACTCCACCTACACCTCTTCTCAAAAGAAGTCGATGCTTGCTTGCTTGCTGGATATGATTCGGATGTGGTACTTGGATAGTCTGATGGTCTCACACGTATATTATTTTTTTTTTTTAGGGGCGACGCCGAAATCGGTGTTGGAGCTGATGAACGTGAAGGATCTAACCCTAGCTCACGTCAAGAGCCACTTACAGGTATTTTTTCATTAGGGTGATATAAATTAATTTTGTTTATTAATCGCTATTTGAGTGATTCGAACACGAGACACTAAATTTATTGTTCTGATTGTACCTTGGTTCGTGCAGATGTATAGAACGGTAAAGAGTACAGACAGAGGACTACCAACAACAGGTAACTACACTAGCATTCAACTCTCTCTCTCTCTCTATATATATATTTTCTGACATTCGGAAAAATGGAAAATATAATGATGTATTATAATTATACGGTCTACAGGAGGAGAGATGACAGAAAAGGACGATGAGCAGAACCAAATTTCTGGCCATGGAATCAGTCATTGTATTGATCATGATAATGGTGAAGGAGACATGATCGATGAAGTTGAAGGAGCAGTAGTAGTAGGAGCAGATAATGAAACCAACTATTCTCCTCGTGTTTTCCTCATCAATAACCAACCACCCCAAAAGTGAGTTCCTTCATTATTTTTTTTTTGGGGTTTCCTGTATTGAGTTTTATTAATTAATGGAGGCTTATGGCTAATTAATGTCTCATTAACTAACTTGCTTGTTTTCTATAAGCCCAAAAAAGAGAGTCAAGTGTGCTTTAGAGCAAGAAAATACAAAAAGACACATTAATAATCATCCACAACCCATTTAACACCCACATCCACACACACCAAAGGAACAAACAAGAAGCATTGTTGGCCTTTCACCAAAAAAAAAAGTAGCATTATTGCACAGCAGGGTTATGAAAATCCGCGCGAAGCGACTGGTCGTATTGTGTGTGCCAATTGTCATTTAGCTAATAAGCCCGTGGATATTGAGGTCCCACAAGCGATACTTCCTGATACTGTATTTGAAGCAGTTGTTCGAATTCCTTATGATATGCAAGTGAAACAAGTTCTTGCTAATGGTAAAAAGGGAGCTTTGAATGTAGGGGCTGTTCTTATTTTACCCGAAGGATTTGAATTAGCCCCCCCTGATCGTAGGTCATTGATATTTATGCATATATATTCTCCTTCTTGCCAAACAATTTAGGTTTCATCATATCTTGTGTCATTACTTCGTCATTGGTACGGATAATACAGAAGATTTTTTTCGTAGTAATGATTCGTCTATACTAGATAGAACCAGATGGTACGGTAATTATAAGCCCATCAGAGCTGTTTTATTTTTCTTGTGATTTAACCGATATCTCGATGTAGTGGTGAGGATTATAGCGCGAATATCGATTTTATGTTTTCGAGTTAGATCCGTTTTTTTTACCTTAACGGTTTTAGGATCGGTTTAATTAAAAAATCGATAAGAAACAGAAACTCATTTGCCCATAGGTTGGTGATGCATGCCTTGTAAGGTTTAAATGTTTGATGCACTCCCCCCTCTGTTTGGTTTGTTCGGTTTCTCCATATCGAAACCAAACTGTTAAAGTGACTTATATTTCTAAAATCAATAATTCCCCTTAATGATTTGGTTTGTTCGGTCTCTCGAAATCAAACTGAAAACCCTAATGGGAATGGTTCAAACACAAAGTCCTAAATCCACATTAATGAAAAGTTTGTTTGGCACCCCTCCCCTATGGCTTATACTATTAAGCATTAACTTCATTTTGTGCCATTCTTTTCTTCCTCTACTTTCAAACAAAAGACAGACTTTTTGGGAGGGGTTAGCATGCTAACCCTTTAAGGGGTTGGTTTTTTGACACCCCCTTTTAATTGGTCAATTTTTCATTAATTATTGACAAGTATTAATGAAAGTAAACATAATAAATGTTCTGTTATTAAATACAAAGTAAGCATTAAATACACCACATTAATTACCACTTTATTGGTATTTGTACCAGTGCACTGATACTCAGATATGACATTGCTACCAGTGCAGTGGTATATCTACCAGTACAGTGGTACAACGTATCAGTGCAGTGGTATATCTACCAGTACAGTGGTACAACGTATCAGTGTAGTGGTATATCTACCAGTACAGTGGTATACCGTATCAGTGCAGTGGTATATTTTTTGGAGGTGGTCGGAGGGAGTCTGCCGATGTGATTTTCACAGGAGAAGTGTGGCGGTCGGAGGAAGTCTGGTGGTCGGAGACTGCTGAAAAAGGAAAAATAAAATATAGTGAGAGAATTCCTAATGTGTATTTAATGTGTGTATTTAATTCATAATGTGTATTTAATAGTGAGAGAATTCCTAATTAATATGGTACATTTAATTCCTAATGTGTATTTAATGTGTGTATTAAATTCTATAGTTGTATTTAATATGCTGGGGGTGTCATTTTTCCAACCCCTAAAGGGGTTAGCATGCTAACCGACCCCAGACTTTTTACATTCTCCCTATCCGTCGGATTGTCTTACCGTTCCCCTCCATCCCCAATGTATCCTTAGCCCAAACAAAACCAGCTGAAGGGTCAAATTAAAGGAGTAGCCTTTTTTCCTCCTCCTTTTCTTTGGGTTCAATTCTCGATGGTATTTCTAAATTCCATTTCTTGTTACTGTACATATTACACAACCCTATAGTTATTAATGAGTCAATCTCCAACCTACATTTGTTGGATTTCAACTTTGTTGACTTTCCCCCCTCTAGCCAGATTCTACTTCAGTGATATGGAAGATTAAACTCGTGTCATTGCGAATCAAGCACCTTGATTATTTTCAAATTTTTACGCATCATCCTTATACAACGATAATCTAATATTATAGACTTTTGGAATGATTTGTTTGTTTTTCAATTTTTTCTTCCAGCAATCAGGGGCGGAGCTAGGATTTGTAACTCGGGGGGGCCGATTTTTTTTTTTTTTGCGTCTTGTCAATAAAAAAATTAAATGTATCTAAACATATGCTATAAACTAAATTTTTTATCCAAGACATGTTCAAAATAAATAGTAAATGACAAGCAAAAATGTATTCATTCTTTTCAATTGGTACCATGTTATTCGTTGTTATTATTATTGAACAATTAATTAATATAAGGTACAATCAAAAACAAACATCACTTTACCTTTTCCCTCGTCGCCCGCCAGACAACCGCCAGACCAGCCCCATCGCCGAACCGCCAGGCCGTCATTGCGCCATCCATTGTCGATCTCCTACGCCGTTGCTCCACCTCATCACCGCGGCGCCGCCATGCTGGCCGTCTCGGGTCGAAGAAGAGAGAAGAAAGAAAGTGAAGGGCAGCCGTTGAGAGAAAAGAAAAGGGTGTGGCGATCTGAAGGTTGGAGACCGGAGGCCAGATCTGGGAGGTCCGTTGCTGCCGGCCGCGGCAGGGGAACAATAAGTTCTCCATCGCAGTCGATGGGTTCGGATGATGATGGTTGATCATGGTGGCGGCTCTGTTCGCCACTACTGGTGGTTTCTTGGTTGAGATGTCGAAGAAGAAGATCCCCTCCTCGTGGTCTCCTGGCTTCTTCTTTTGTTGCCTTGGGATCCCGCCGCCTCCTGCTCTTGATTATCAATTGCACTCTTCTTTGAGTACCAGACTCGCCTAGTTGCGAGCAAAGTCAGGGACACTGGATTGGATCTCCCTGACGCGTTGAGCTACTTTCTATGTTTCGGTATTCAGATTACCGCCTATGGCTTATGGGCCTGTTTGACTCCGTTTTCATGGAGATACAGAGTGCCATAGAGCGACTCTATTTTGTTTGTTCGTTTTGTAGGACTCCCCAACGACAGGAATGCTGCTACAGCGGTGCCATGGTTGGCAGTTTGGCCAGTATGCAGCAACGGCGATTCCCGGCCATTCCCTCTTCCCATTCCCAATTCCGGTATCCAACATTCGGTGGCAGTTACAAGTTCGAAGCCTACAATCTTTGGTGCAAAATGATTTGGTCGGTTACAATACCAGGGCAGTTACAAATTTGCTGAATAGGCGGTTCCAATCCTAACCACGTTTAGCTAAGTCTTCTACCTCTTACTAATTATATATTTCATTATTATAATGTTTACATTTGTGTTTGGTATTTTTGCTGTGGTGTTGCTTTGGTTTTGTATTCGCTTATTTTATGCATCTTGCTTATATTAAGGAATTGCTTTTCGTTAGGCCTGGAGTGTAATTTCTCTAAGAGCCGGTTTTGGTATTTTTTTGGGATGTAGACGGCGGAGTTCGCATAGCTTGTTGAGCAATTGGTGGCATGTGGAGCAATTGGTGGCAACCTGGTGGTACTTGAGTGTTATTTTGCCCCTTTGAGGGTCGTTTGTGTTTTTGCAGGTAGCTTGCATATCAGATCTACTCCTAGCCTATTGGAACCCGACTTATCAACTATGTGAAGTTTGTACTTGGCGGAGTGGTATTTCAAGAAGTTTTTCAAAAGAAGACTTCATTTGCGTTTATTCGTTTATTTATGTTTCTAGGCATACTAACAGGGCTGCCCATTGCGTGGCGAAAACAGCTCTTGCATCGGCTAATCAGCATATGGCTGATTTCCGTTATCTTCTTTTTAATCCATTGTAATGCCCTATCTAATACATTCTACCTTAGCCAAAAAAAAAACAATTAATTAATATGCATATTAGCATTTTCAAAAAGAAAAATGGTTATATATTTATAGTTATCCTTAACGATGTGAATTCATAACTTATAAGCAATTAGGTTAGAGGATCTAAAAAGATGAAGTATGAAAATTAAGTAATTAGCTTGGTTAAATTTTAACCAAAAAATATTCTTAAAATGTGAATTTATTAACTCAAAAAATTAATTTATCTAGTTTGAACTTTGAAATTAGGTTGTAAAATACAATTAAACTAAAGTGAGAAAAAATAAATGAATTGTTGCTGGTGGGAATCGAACCCACATACCACAACAAAAGTACACAACACCAACACATAAATCCACTAGGCCACAGGAGGTAACCATGATTAGTTATTGCACGACATTTTTATATATCTTTAACTTTTGAATAATCCGATACGATTTACATGTGATCGTCAAATTCTCGGGGGGGGGGGGGGGGGGGTGGGGGGGGGGGGCGGGGCCCCCCGAACCTTAAGCTAGCTCCGCCCCTGCCAGCAATGAGTTCTTAACACATCAGTGCATCACCATTATGCAAAGCGCTACAATCTAGACTTTTGGAATGATTTGTTTGTTTTTGTTTTTAAATATTGCCATTGTCATTTCTTTGCATCTTTTTTCTTAAATGAAGTTTCTTTGCATCTTAATTAACATATATCCTTATTGTTATTTTGGCATCACACCTCGGCGAATATATTTAATGATGATTAGAGTAATTAATCCTGGTTTATGTCATGTTTGTCATTGACAGAGACAACTACAATAGATCAAACCCTGATGAATATCGGGTCGCATTGACTCGTTCTCAATTTAACCCTCTTGACATAACGGTGATTAAGGTACACAACGAATAGAGCGTACAATGAACATTAATACCATATATATATAACGTCACATTTTTCTTAATTAATTGTTATATATGTATGATTTAGGAAAAGAGAGAAGGGGTGTTTGTGGATTTAGAATTCACACTTGGAAGGCCGAGCTGGCAAATGGATGCAGCCATCTACCCGGCCGAATCTTCAAACCACAATGAGTTGACTCTTCTCAAGTGCTAATCATGTCAAAGGATGAGGAGGAGAAGAACAAGAAGAAAAGTTAACCTGATTGAGCATTAATTAACACAGAAGATATTAGAATTAGAACTACCCGTCCTAATCCGTCCTCATTAATCTCTCTTCTATATTGTTGTATTTTCCAACTTTCATGCATTGACCGAAATATATCTAATACAAAAGAATTATCTGTTAACGAACTGATCGGAAAACAACAAAAATTGAACTGAACATAATAACGAACACAGACGGTTTACGTGGTATCCCTGATGATCAGGACTAATCCACGGGAGAGCTTGGAACACTCTCCAGACTACTGATATTATTAGATTGACGGCTTAACCAAATCAAAGTGCAACAGTTCAACATATATACATCTCGCAAAGGAGAGCACTTGGCCGAACCCTAGGAACAGAATGAAGTCGATGCATGGGTTGCATGGGCCGGAATAAATGAAAGAAAAGAGTGGGCTCGT